TCCTTCCTTATTTTTTTTAGCAGAGTCTTGAAAGATTAGTAGGTGTTTACTTCTTGGCTTTGGGAAAAATTCTAGATAAAGGGAGAAGCAAAACAAACCACTGAGATAGGTGAGGAACAAGTGATAAGTTAGAGAAACAATAGATAGTTTGTCATGGATAAAACACAGGGTGGGACAGGTAAGAGAGAAGAGTCAGGAAAGACTCAATTCTTTGCTTGGGTCCTCCACAGCCAGATCCTGGTACTGAAATAAGGAGCACAGGAGGAATAGCAGGTTTCAGAAGAAAGGCAGTGAGTGCAGTTTTGAACTTCCAGACTTGGAAATGCTTTGGTGACAGTTAAGTAGAGAGATGGAGTCAGCAGTTCGAAACACAGGTCTACACTCTTCAGAGATTTCTGGGCTGAGACCCTGTCACCTGTTATACTTGCTCGCATTTCAGTTTTCTTAAATAAAACAATCAAATCAAAGCTTTCTCTACTTTTCATCTTATTCTAGGTACTTCCCTAGTGCTCATTTCTCTTCCCAGCCAGCTTCTTAAAAGCTGTCTGCACTTGCCTTCTACTCTTAGCCTCATTCCCTTTGTCCCTTGGTGCAGGGCAGTCTAACTTTTCCCTGTACCCTCTACTGAAGTGGCTTTCTCCAAGGTCACCAATTACCTCTCTGCCCTGCACCTTTGACACCCAGCATGCATCGGATTTAGTGGGAGCTTTCCAGGCTTGACTTAAGGCTCTCTCTGCAGTGCTCAACAGAGCTGATCAGTCCTTCCTTCTGGACATCCTGCTTCTGTGGGCCATTCTTGTCTATTTGTTCTTCCTGTCTCTAACTTCCAGAATCCAATCACTTGTCAGAAATCGGTTTACTTAGTCAATGTTAATCATCAGCCTTAAGTAAATCTTTATTTACAAGGAAAAAAGACAGCATATTTTATTCTTTGTCCTTAGCTGCAAATGCTATTATCCTTTGAATTGAATTAATGGAAACAAGGACCTTTCTCCCCTCAATAGTGGATAAGGGTTCATTCTGATATTTTTCACTTGGGAAAACCAAATGCTAAGATATGACACAGAGAAAACTAATTTGTTTAGAAGATTGGAAGGCTGAGGTGGAAGGATCACCTGAGCCCAGCAGGTCAAGGCTGCGGCTCAGTGGCCGTGAGCGTGCCACTGTACTCCAGCCTGGGTGACAAAGTGAGACTCCAACTCAAAAAAAAAGATGGCCGGTTGTGCATGCCTGAATAAAGTGTACAGAATAATGGCGAATCAGGGACCTGGCACCTCTTGGCCGTGGACATGAGCCTGCCCCAGTGTCTCAACTAGCTCCTGAGCAGGCATGCCATCCTGCCTACTCAAGACCATCTTTCATGCTGTGCAGTTCCACAAACCCAGAAAGATGCTGAAAGGTAACAAAGAGCCGATGCGTTGGTAGGAAGACATAGGGCACCTGTGAGCTAGAAATGGTGAGCAGACCCTTTCAGGCAGCAAAAGTCACGAATAGAGCTAGGCCTGCAAATGTTTGAAGCAAGTGAAAAACTAGCCAGTGAGTAAACCTGGCAGCTGTGCCTGCAGTTGGGCCCTGACCAGTAGTAGCATTACTCAAGTCATAAAACACTTCAATGTTTGGACTTACAGCATGATTCTGGAAATGTTTTAATTTTTAAAATACCAGTGCGTATCATTCATTACCTGTCTTCTTTGGGCAAATAAGGAGAAGGATTTTGATAGGAGTTACACTCAGCAGAGTAAAATTCATTTGTTTGAACTGGAAAGGTGAGTATTATTGAAGATGTCTACACAGACCATTGAAATAATATTGTGGGTTCGCATGGTGGCTCACACCTGTAATCTCAGCACCATGGGAGGCCAAGGTGGGCAGATTGCTTGAGGCCAGGAGTTCAAGACCAGCCTGGGCAACATAGTAAAACCTCATCTCTACAAAAAAAAAAAAAAAATTAGCTAGGCATAGTGGCACATGCCTGTAGTCCCAGCTACATGAAAGACTGAGGCAGGAGGATTGTCTGATCCCAGGAGTTTGAGGCTGCTGTGAACCGTGATCGTCGTGATCATTCCACTGCACTCCAGCCTGGGTGACAGAGGGAGACCCCCAACTCAAAATAAATAAATAAATAAATAAAATAAAATCAATAATATTGTGACAATATTTGTGACTTTTAAATTTTTTTAGAGTTGGTATTTCACTCTGTTGCCCAGGCTGGAGTGCAAAAGAATCTGTACTGGAAGACTGCAGCAGAAGGATCATCTGAGCCCAGCAGGTTGAGGCTGCAGTGGCCATGAGCGTGCCACTGCACTCCTGCCAGGGTAACAGAGTGAGACTCCAAATACATAAATAAATAGTAAATAAATAAATAGCAAATAAAAGACTATTTTGTTTGTTGTGTAGATAGTTCAAAAATTCAGGATTTTTTTTTTTTTTTTTTTTGAGTTGGAGTCGCACTCTGTTGCTCAGGCTAGAGTGCATTGGCATGCTAACAGCCACCCCAGCGTTGACCTGCTGGACTCTGGCCTTCCTTCCACCTCAGTCTTCTAAGTAGCCAGAACTACAGGCATGTGCTTCCATGCCAGCTAATTTTTTTTTTTTTTTTATATCGACGAGGTCTCGCCAAGTTGCCTAGATTGATCTCAAAGCCGTGGGCTCAGGCAATCCACTCACCTCAGCCTCCTGAAGTGCTGGGATTATAGCCTGAGCCACCAAGCCCTGCCAATCCAGGATTTTTATAACCAACATACCCAAAGTCCCTGACATATAGAGGGTAGGAAGGAGGAACATCTGGAGACCTGGTTTAACTTGAAAGTAAACCGGGGACTCAGTTTTAAACTTTGTCATTGAGTTCAGTTTACTAAGGGTGGGTTGTTGGGATTGTTTATTGTTATGTAATGATATTCTATTTGAATTTGTATTTCCATGTCCCCAGTATAGAGGCTGTAACAAAATTGAAAGTAGTTACTCAGTGTACAGGAGACAAGTTGAATTAATTGGGTTCAGGAATTCTGCTGCCCTTTTGTAAACAGCTTCCTTAAGTTTTAGCTTATTCTCCCTGATAAGAGCTGACATAAAGCAAGGGGTTTTGTTCGTCTCCCAAAAGTCTGGCTTTATTTTCCTCACGAGTGCTCTCTTTGTACTCTCACAGGGCTTCTTCAAGCAGGCTTGTGCTTTTCTGCCCCATTGTTTCTCTTTTCTTAGTAAATCAACACATTTGACTCCAGTCCTTATTTTTCCCACTTTTGCAAGGCTGTCTTACACTCTGCTTTCTTGGCCTGTTGCAGCTCGTCTGGGACAGGAGTCACATCCATGCTGCGTCACTTAATTTTGATTTTGAATTTTCTGGTTTACAGCTATCCCCAATCCTGTTAATGCTATTAATCTGAGATGGTTTTATGTGTGCAGTGATTTTTAGAAGATGAGAAAGTATAAAAATGAAAACTCTTTATAAAAGAAATGGGAAAAAGTCAAGGGAGGATAGTGCATAGAAGTACTTGAACTATCATCTGATAGTTGGTACATTGTCTTCTCAGTTTATGTAATGGGCAAGTTTATGAAAGATTGTGAGATTGTGGAGAGTAGAGTTATATAGATTCTGTCGTTCTTTTTTTTTTTCTTTTTTTCTTTTTTAAAATTTTTTTGAGTCAGTGTCTCACTCTGTTACTCAGGCTGGAATGCAATGGCAGTCATGGCTCACTACAGTCTCAACCTCCTGGACTCAGGTGATCTTCCATCTCAGCCTCTCATAGCTGGGACTAAAGACATGTACCACCACACCTGGCTAATTTTAAATTTTTTTTTTTTTTTTTTGTAGAGACAGAGTCTTGCTATATTGCCCAGGCTGGTCTCGAACTCCTGGGCTCAAGCATTCTACCCACCTCAGCCTTCCAAAGCTCTGAAATTACAGGTATGAGATTCTGTATTTCTTTCTTTTTTAAATTATCTGTCAGGGGTCTCATTCTCTTGCCCAGGCTGGAGTGATCACAATGATCACTTCTCACGGTAGCCTCAACCACCTTGGCTCAGGTGATCCTTTTGCCTTAGCATTCTAAGTAGTGGAGACTACCGGAGCACATCACCACACTGGGCTCTGTGTGTGTGTGTGTGTGTGTGTGTGTGTGTGTGTGTGTGTGTGTAAAAACGGGGTTTTTGTATGTTGTCCCAGCTGGGCCCCAACTTCTGGGGTTCAACCATCCTGCCTGCCTGGGCCTCCCATGGACCTAAAATAACAGGCTGAATTCTCATGGCCTGGCTGATTTTTTTTTCTTTTGTTTTTTGGAAGAGATAGGGGTCTTGCTCTGTCACTCAGGCTGAAGTGATCATAGTCACTGTAGCCTTGAACTCCTGGGCTCAAGCAATACTCCTGCCTCAGCCTCCTGTGCAGCTGGGACCACATGTGTGCACCATAACACTCAGTTAACATCTATCGTTAATATTAGAGACATAATTTTAAAGCCTGATTAATGTCCAATTATAAGTTACAAAGTCTGTAAACAAACCTTTTATGCAGCTCTGAATCACATAAACTGGGTAGTTTTATATGTCCTGTAAGCCATGAGTATTTATTTCTTTTTCTTTTTTTGCCTTCTGTTGTTTTTTTTTTTTTTTTTTTTTTGAGTTGGAGTCTCACTCTGTCCCCCAGACTGGAGTGCAGTGGCTGCTCTCGGCCACTGCAGCCTCGACCTGCTGGGCTCTGGCGATCCTTCTGCCTCAGCCTTCCAAGTAGCTGGAACTACAGGCGCGTGCTACCACGCCCAGCTAATTTTTTGATATATTGTAGAGATGAGGTCTCGCCAGGTTGCCCAAGCAGGTCTCAAACCCGCAGGCTCAGGCAATCCACTCACCTTGGCCTCCCAAAGCACGGGATTACAGGCTGAGCCACCGAGCCCAGCTTACTGTTCTTTTTTAAGTAAAGAAACAAATAGAGAGATATCCTCTTTTGTGAGGTAAATAGTAGCATATATATGCACTTTTCTCTATCTTGCTTTTTTCATTTAACAATATATTCTGAAGATCATTTCATAATAGTACATGCAGATAGCTTGATATGCCTCAATTCATTTTTAATAGCTGCTTAGCACTTTATAGTCGAGTACCATACTTTATTCATTTCGTCCCTGTTGATGAACATCTGGGTTGATTCCAGCATTTTGCTATGATAACTAGTGTTACAATGAATAGCCTTATATCTTTTCACATTTTTGCCAGAAATGTAATAATAAGTAATAATTTTTTTTCTATTTCTACCTTTTTAATATGCTATTTCTATTTTTTTCTTTTCTACCTACCTCAACCTTGTTTTTACCCTGCCTCATTTTGTGCTGTTCTGTAGTGACATAGGAAAAATGTGTGTGATTTTATGTGTGTAGGTATATACACATATATATGTTGATTTGAATATATGTGAATGGAATGTTTTTCTTCAGCTATTTAATAGACAATGGAATTTTCCATTCTTGAATTAATGCCTGATGATTGGAATCATATACAAATTTGAAATCAAATTCTGCCACAATTATCTATGCAAGGTTCCTACCAATTATAATTTTTGTTTAAGTATGATTAGAATTGGCCCTGTATTTCTGTTACTGTGCATACTCAGAAGCTCAGACTCTGTGTACACACATACCGCTAAATTCTGCAAAGTAAAAAGAAAACCTCAATTGGTGTTGGTGTCTTGTCGAGCCTCTGCTTGTGTTTGTATATCTCCTTTCAATACATACTCACTTTATTTTTTTCAATAGGTAATATGTCAGTCAGATTTCTATTAGCAAACAGCAGAAACAATGCCAGTGAAAGGATATTGGGTAGCTTACAGAACTGCTGGTAGTTTGGAGAGTCAGAATCAGAGACCAAGGCTGTTCAGAATCGGAGACCAAAACTGGGCCCTTTGGTCTCATCAGTACGGCAGTGCCAGGGAGTACTAAATACTGCAGTTTGCCCTGCCAGCAGGATGAGATGCTGGACGTTGCCACCCTTGAATGTGGTGTTGCTACAAATGCCACTCGCAAAGAGAAAAAAAATGACATAGGTGGCACATAGTCAGTTCTATCTATGTAAGTGTTAAATACTAAAGCTATATCATTTTATGTTGACTTATAATTTATATATCCATTTAATCAGGTCTACTCAAATTGTAACGTATTTTCTTATCTTGAAAGCAAACAAATGATGAGGATATTGCTACTAAACCCTTCATGTTTTGGAATCCCCATGCTTTCCTCAGGATATTTGCATATTACAGGAAACATTAACTCTGTGACAAGACTGTATGTTAGTGCTGCCAATGTATACAATAATATGAGTACAGCTCAACTTCTTTAATATGTGGACTCCATGGTTGTGTGTATCCATTTTTTGGGGACAATTCTATTCTACTATACTGCTTCTTGTAGTTAGGATTATATACTCTGTGTGAGTGGTAGGTTACCAATAGGGAACTGTATTTTAGTTTTTAACATGTATATGGATAAAGTCTTAGAGTAACCAGAAAGAAAATTAAATTGGTAATTTCCGAGCTTAAATGTATAAATAGTAATAAAGAGTTTATTGATAGCTCTCAACAGTTATGAGACATTGAAGTTTTTATATCTCTTGCTAACAGAAGCCAGAGTCTTCATTTATGGGCGCTCTTTTAACTGCCATCAGCCTGGCCAGCATCCAAAGGGAAGCTTTTTTTACCTACCCTGTGTAGTTGTATTAGACGTTACATTAGGTAATTTTCATTCTCATTCTCCTTTGTGTTTTGCAGCTGGCATAACCTTGACAACAGATTGCCTTGAAAATAGCCTGCTTACATGCTACTGGGGATGCAGTGTTCAAAAATTATATGAAGCTCTGCAGAAGCACGTTTATTGCTTCAGACTAAGCACTCCCCAGGCATTAGAAGATGCTCTGTATAGTGAATATCTCTACCAGGAACAGTATTTGTATCCTTTTATCTGATATATCCATTAGCGCACGAACATTAGACTTTTTTGGGGATAAATTAGAGTATTGCTAAGTCACTGATCATTTTTGGCACATTTTTATTCTTTTGGTTATAGTGGCAATTTACCTTTACGTTTTCAAAAAGTATTAAAAAGGATAACAAAGAAGAAATATATTGCCAGTTACCAAGCGATACTAAAATTGAAGACTTTGGTACAGTGCCGAGATCCCGCTATCCATTGGTAGCTCTGTTGACCTTATCTGATGAGGAAGACCGAGAAATTTATGATATTGTAAGTAATAGAAAAATTATTTTCTTATTTTTTGCCTTATAAATCACAAGAACATGACTTTATTTGGAAAATAAAAGATATATTGTGATTGAATTAAATCAATTTCATCATTTCATATTCCATTGTTTGCTATATGGAAAAAGTCTGTTGGGGAACATGTTTACTCTTGACATTTTTAGCACTGAGTAAGTAAGCAAAGTAATGCTTGAAAGTACTTAGTTTGAAGGAAGTGTTTGCTCCCTTTCTGCATCGCTTGCAGTCACCTTGTTTCCATCAGAGCCCCTGCTGCACCTGTGTCTTTTATAGCTAGACCCTGAATGCTCAGTAACTACAGTCATCTCCTTTTCTCATTATGTGCTAGTTACTTCTTTAGTCTGGCAGTTTATTCCTGTTAGGAGATTAAAGCGCCTGGCGTGGTGGGTCAAGCCTGTAATTCCAGCATTTTGGGAGGCCGAGGTGAGAGGATTGCCTGAGTCCAGGGGTATGAGACCAGCCTGGGCAATGTGGCGAAACCTCACCTCTGTAATAAATAAAAAAATTAGCCGGGTGTGGTGGTGTGCGCCTGTAGTTCCAGCTGCTTGGAAAGCTGAGGTGGGAAGATCTTCTGAGCCCAGCAGATCGAGGCTGCGTTGGCCGTGAGCAGCGTGCCACTGTACTCCAGCCTGGGCAACAGAGTGAGACTCCGACTCAAAAAACAAACAAACAAACAAACACCATCTTAGAGTTTGACAATCCTATGAGTATGGTTGAAACATACACATGAAATAAACTTTTGGTGAAATCATCATAGTAGAAATGCCCTTATACACAATTTACTACTTTTCTGAAGTGCTTGATGTAGATATATTCATTAATGAAAGTATAGTATCATTTTATACTTTATAATTTACACAGTATATTCACTAATATAATTATTTCATAAATCACTAATGTAACTATTTTTCCTTCCAGCAACTTAGTGCATTATGACAAGGCAGATATCTTCCTTAAACAGGCTGAAGCAGAGTCTAGAAAAATCTCGGTCATTCAGGCAGTAAGAGATGGAACAGGGCTTGTCTCAGCCTTTTTTTAAACAGGAATATCTCCCTAAAGCAAGTGTACATTGAGCTTTGGAAGGTGCAGACTCTTATTGGGGAATCTAGACCCTGCTTATTTGCAGTTAAGCTTTCTAGCTTTTTGGTTTTTTATTATCATCAAACTGAAGTTCTGGTGAGCCGAAGTCAGCTTGGTTTGTCCAAGTCATGGGGAATAGTGAGGAAGGAAATGGGGACATGAAGGTCAAAGGAGTCAAAGTTGGAGCTGTGGAAGATGAACATTGGTCTAGAGAGCTCATGTGCAGCATGAGTGCTGTGGTTAATAATGAAGCATGCATGGTGTTAGGGAATTTTGCAGAGTCGATTTTAGGTGCTCTCTTGCCGCATGCAAAAATGTGGGGTAGCCATGTGAGATGATGGATATGTTGATTTTCTTGACTCTTGTAACCATTTTTCTATGGAAATGTGTGTCAGAATGTCTTGTTGCACACGTTAAATATGCACAATAAAAAATGTTTTATTTTTTTAATTTTTTTAATCAATATTTTTTATTATGGTTTTGTGGGGTACAGTTAAGGGTTAGGTGTACAATTACGTTTCATTCAGGCACCCTGTTGATAAGAGGTGTTTCCCCTTCCCCAGACAGATATTTGCTACTGTTAATCCCATCCCCCCCCCCATAGTTTCCCAGTACCGTCAGTCATTTTCTTATAGTATTACGTTGAGTTAATGTTTGCATACAGTGAGAGATAGGGTACAGTTTCATTCCCCTGACTTCAGTTTTCCCAGCATCATCTACTGAACAGGGTGTCCAGTCACCAGTGTATGGACTTTGTGGACTTTGTCAAAAGTCAATTGGTTGTAAGTAGAAGGCTTTATTTCTGAGTTCTCTATTCCATTCCATTGTTCTACATTTCTGTTTTTATAGCAGTACCATGCTGTTTTGGTTACCATGGCCTTGTAGTATAATTTGAAGTCAGACAATATGATACTTGCAGCTTTATTGTTTTCACTTAGGATTGCTTTGAGTATTCAGGCTCTTTTTAAATTTTTATTTTATTTTTCTAATTTTGTGAAGAATGACATTGGTAATTTTATTTTAAAAGCAAACAGGCATTTCTCTGCCATTGGTTTGTTTATCTGTCATCTCTATGACCTTGTGAATTTTTTTCCCCAGTAGCTTATAATTCATTATTGAATTTAATTATTTTGGTGCTCAAATTGTCCTCTCCCAGCTTCCTGTCAAGACAAGGGTTTCTAGTCAAACTGTGTCTATAAATTACTTGGATTTGTTCTCTCAAAAGTCAGAAAACCATGTAAAGAGATGTACTCAGATGCTGTTCTCTTTAATATCTCTTCCACTCTCTTCTCACATACCTCATCCTTGTAGATAACCAAATTTATTGTTTTCTGGTTTATCCCGCTCACATTTCTTCTTTTCTCCTTTTTCCTAAACAAAAGGTATCACACTGTCTATGCTATATATGTGCTTTTGTACTTTGCTTTTTTTTACTTTGTAATATCTCCTGGAAGTCACTCCAGATCAGTTTGTAGAGACAGTTGTGTGTGTGCACGTGTGTGTTGGAGGGGTACCATAGTCACTGAACCAATCTCCTGTGCTTGGGGATATTCACACAGTTTCTAGTCTTCCACAGGAGCAAGGAAGCTTGTGCTGAATAACCTATACATATATATCTTAATATTGTCGGGGTTGTGTGGAATAGAATGCTACTCAGTTGTCCCAGTACTGTTTATAAAGAAGACTCTTTGTCCAGTGATTTGAGGTGATGCCTTTGTCATATTTTATACATAATGAGGTCTGTTTCTGGGCTGTTTGTTTATCTGATTTCATCATGTGCCAGTACCACACTGTTTTAATTTTAGAGACTTTGTATTATGTTTTAATATTTATCTGGGCTAGTCTCTCTTATAGCTCTCTTTTCCGTCTTTCCCTAGCTATTCTTATGTTTATTTTTTCATATGAGAATTTTAGAGTCAATGCATATAGCTCTTAAAAAAGCTCATTGGTATTTTTTTTTAAACACTTTTCATTTTAAAATTGTGGGGTACAGTTAAGGGTTAGGTATACAAATATGCATCATTCAGGCACCCCTGTTGATAAGGGGTGTCCCCCCATCCCCAGACAGATATTGACTACTGTTAATCCCACCTCCCTTCCCCTCCCCGCCCCCCCATAGTTTCCCGCCACTGTCAATCCTTTTCTTATAGTATTACGATAGATGTTTAAGGTCCTCTTATGAGTGAGAACATGTGATACTCAGATCTTTGTTTCTGTGAGAGATCACTCAGTATTATTCATTGGTATTTTTATTGTGATCACATTAAATTTGCCCCAAATATGTCAGTAACCAGTTCCTCTGCACTGACTTTGATTTATGCAGATTAATGTAAATTTTCTAATTGATCAACCTCTTCTTTTTGAGAAGAATTTTTCACATACTTGTGAAATAACATAAGGAGGTTAAGTACTGACCAGTATTCAATTTTTCTTTTAGATTTCCATGGTATCAGTAATTCATATTCCTGATAAGACTTACACACTTTCCTGCAGAATATTGTATCAGTATTTACTCTTGGCTCAAGGCCAATTTCACGATCTTAAGGTAAGTTATACTCTATAGTCGTATCTTTGTTTCTTTTGTTTACAGAGTGTCAAAGAATGGTCACTTTCGGAGAGATCATTCTATTTTTCAGCTAATGATTATGGAAGTTAATTATTTGGAGTTGGATTTCCTCATAAATTTTGAGCAGCTCTTATGATCTCCAGCTTTAAAGAGTAATTATGATTTATAATAATCTTGAAACTTATTTATTTGATTTTTCTAGCAACTTTTCATGTCTGCAAATAATAATTCCACTCCCACTGGCAACTCCTCCCCAGAAGAGCAAAACATGGACAGAAGTCTGCTGGCAAAGGCTGGGCTCTCTGAAAGCGAAGTGGAGCCGTCAGAGGGGACCAGCAAGGACTGCGTTGTCTGCCAGAATGGGAGCGTGAACTGGGCGCTCCTGCCCTGCAGACACGCATGCTTGTGCGACGGCTGCGTGAGGTATTTCCGGCAGTGCCCAATGTGCAGGCAGTTTGTTCAGGAATCTTTTGCCCTTTGTGGTCAAAAAGAGCAAGACAAAGACAAACCGTAAACTCTTTGAGGATGTTATTACCAATGAAAGTACACTTTCTCCTAATGATGCAGAAAATTATGTTCTTAGAATTAATCACAACAACGAATTGACAGTCTCGACCATCAGTGAAAGTTCTACTTCAACTCATGTCTGTGTGGGAGGGGGATGATGACGGTCACTCCTTTTTGTTTAGTATAGTGAATGCTGGAACACCATCTGTGTTATGCATAAACTTCATTCAGCTCTTGAGAAGAAGGTAAATGGCCTTTTCTCAGCCAGATTTCTCATAATGCTGATCAGAGAAATTATTCTGAAAGGTAATCCATCTAAAATTTGAGGAAGCATCTCACAATTCCATATTTTTTTCCTTTGGTGTGATTTAGAGTGCGACTAGGAAAAACCTTAATTCTTCTCAAAGTAATTGTTATGTTCCTCAGTTTATAAAGAAGTTGGAAAGGGCATCCTATTTAAATCCTTTCCTGAAATAGAGTTTTTATAAACATCCATTGTTTTGGTTTCTAATTTCCCTTATCATCAAAGTTACATAAACACAAGTCTTAAATTTTAAATATAGGTTCTTAAATCATAATTGTAAGATACATTTCGATGGATGCATGTTCAACACAGTGCAGTTTCCTGACTAGTCTCAGTATGTCGTCAGTTACAACGATATTCATCTTTAGCGGCAGATGTGTAAAACTTGGATAGAAAAATGTTTGGATAATTCAGTGTATTAAATCGATGTTAAATGTGATTACATTAGCACAATGTGATCTACAGGGAAGGTCTGTGAGACCCTTAATGCCTTACCTTAGATTCCCTCCTGCACAGCAAATCTATCCAAAACTGATAGGGGTTTTGGAACTAGAAGAATCACTAAAAGAAACAAATAACTATTTTTTTCTAGTGTATTTTTATTCCAAATAAACCCAATATCCTTCTGAATAGTAAATTACTTTGTTCATTTGTTGTTATATTCTTGTAAGAATTGAGCAGCTTAGTAGGCAAAAAGGCCCCATCCCCACTCTTGCTAAGACAACTAAGAAGAAAAAGGTAAATCAGAGCTTTCCATGTCTTTAGTGAAAATGATCTTCAACTCACCAAGAAAGCAGGTCATGGCAAATAAACTGACATTCAGGGAGATTTTCAAGCTTTTCTTTGGTCCTGTTTGTATTAAGAATAATGCCTTACCTCATATCAGGGTTTTTAAATAATATTTCATTGCATGCAGATATAGCACTCTCCAGAAGACATTATAGAATCTGGTCTCTATTTTATAAACCAAATCAGACTTTCATCTACATTCACTAGCTATGTAATAAATACTTTCTAGGGGCCAGATACTTTTTGAGAGTCTGGGCTGCAAAGAATCAGGCAAGACTCCTCAAGTATTAGTTCCGGACAGAAGCATTGGAAACATCCCCCACCTTTGGATGTTCCTAAGACTGTGTTCAACCTTGCCACTGGAAACAGGGTAGTCAAAAGCTGCAGTCCCTGTTGCAGTTAACTAGCAGTACAACAATTAATCTTGAAAACTCTCTTTGTCATGCAAATTGGGGAATACTCAGTCATTCGGTTCATCCTAGCTGTTCTGCCTCCCTTTATAGATCTGTTTGTACCTAGACTGTCCTAGACATATAGTTGGCTTCTCATTGGAGTTAGAATCCATCAACCCTGCAATTTTATTCCATTTTTCATAACTTTTTTTATGAGGGGGACCCCAAAATACCAGAATTATCTTTTGGAGCACAGGCCCCTTTTAGTACTAGCTTCCCTGCTAGGTGAGTGTTCTAGGAACCCATTGGCATAAGTGTCCCAGCTAGCATTGTTGTGAGAGGCTGCGTTCAGCTTTAGTGAATTTTTTTGTGGCAAACAAGTGATAGATTGGTTCCTCCACCATGACAACGAATCTGCCCACAAAAATGGCATGACTCCCATACCCCACCCTCCCTGTCCACCCCATCTCACACCAGTGACTTTTTTTGTTTCCCTGGATGAAACATGTCCTCGAAGGGAAAAGTTTTGCTCATATGAAAGAGATGAAACAAAAAAGGCAGAAGCACTAAAAGACATCAAAACTAACGAGTTCAGAAACTGGAGCAGTGGAAAAATGTCTCAATAGGTGCACGACCTCAAACGGACAGTACTTTGAAGGTGATTGGAGTTTAAACATATAAGAATAGACGCACAATTTCTTATAAATAAATTCTGGGTTTTTTGTGTCCCCCCCCCCTTGCATAGTAAAATATATTTACATAAAATTTATCATTTATACTGTTTTAGAGTCTAAAATGCAGTGACATTAAGTACCTTTGCATTCTTTTGCCACATTCACCAGAATCCATCACCAGAATATTTTCATTATTCCACAGGGCAACTCCCTGCCTATTAAACAGTAACTCCTCATCCCCCTTGCCCCCAGCCTCTGGCAGCCACCATTTTACTGTCTCTGTGCGTTTGACTGTTCTAGGTACTTCATATCAGTGGAATTATATATCTGTCCTTTTGGGTCTGGCTTATTTCACTTAGCATTTTTTTTTAAAAGTTCATCCATGTGGTAGCCAGCATCAGAATTTCATTCCTTTTAAGGACGAATAATATCTCATTGTATGTAAATGTCACATTTTGTTTATTCATTCACCCACCATATTTGTAATTCTTAACAAGATTTGCCTTTAGTTCTTGCTGCAGCTAGAGTAATTGGTTTTCCTGCCTTCGGTGGTAATAATTAAGAAGAATTTGGTGGGTCTTCAAGTAAAAGCAAGCACACTGACCCCTCGAGGTTTGTGTCAGAATTTGCCAGTAATTGAATAGTGATACTTTGTGATCATATCTGTAATTATATTTGATGTTGGTGAACTCTGAGATAAAATATTTAGTTTATATAGATGAATTATATAAATTATATTACAGACTTTGGGAAAGTAGCAACTTTTGGAACTAGGGCTACTGCTAAGCAGACTTAATAGGTGTATAGCTGCATAGCTGCCTCCTCTTTCAGTGACCTTTTCTTCCTGGAGTCCACTGGCTTCATGGAGTCCACTACAAAGCCATGTGGTTCAGCTGAGTCCAGACCTTCAGTGCTGCTCAACAATCCGATTTTCTTCCTGATGGATTCCCTGCTGAACTCCCAGTAGCAATTCCAAACCTCTTCTGCTCTTCTCAAGTTCTGTATCCCACCAGTTTTATCACTCTCAGCAGATAAGTAGTGTGGTGTGGCGCTTATAATGATGGACGCTGAAGTCAGATATTTATTCCAGTTCTGCCACTTAATGGTTCGTCACCTTGGAGAAGTCACTTAACTTCATTCTGCTTCCGTTTCCTCATCTATTAAATTGTGATAATGGAACCTACAGGCAGTTGAGAGGATCACACTGGTCAATGTGTGTAGAGTGATTAGACCTGGGGATAGCACATCATAAGCCCTTTGTGTGCTAGGTTTTACAGCCATTACTTTGCTTAAGTGTTCAAAGCCAGTAGACATTCTTTTCTCTCTTCCCTGAGAGAAGAGGTATATCGCCTTTTGAGGCTACCATTACTTGTGCTCTTGATCTCATCTCTGCTTGACTCTCTGAACTCATTTGTGTATTCATTCAATAACTAAACAAATAATCATTGTGTTTGGTCATTGGGGATAAACAGTAAATAAAATAGACACAATCTGTTGCTTTCATGAAGCTTCTACTCTGGGAGAGAGACCAATTAGTAGATGATAAATTGATCACGTGGAGGAAATCAAAGCCAGGATGAATGGGTCAGAAGCAGGAAGGGTAGAGTGCAGGTTCCTACTCCAAATGCAACACGCTCGAAGGCCTCTCTGGGATTTTTAGTAGAGTCCTGGAGGAGGCCAGGAAGTGAGCCATGTCTAGGCAAAGAGGCCTTAAGTCTGGGAGTGCCATTTACTGAGATGGGGATGACTGGGAAAAAAGAGCAAGTTTGGAGGAATAAAAGCAATCTTGGTTCTCTTTGGTTTTAGATGTCAGTTGGAAATTCAAGTAGAGACATCAAATAAGCAGATAAAAACATTCAGCTGGCATTCAGGAAAGAGGTCCAGACTGATGATATAAATTTGGAGTCATCAGCATGGTACTCAAAGCCAGAAGTCTGCCAGAGATCGCCAAGTGAAGGAGCTTGGGAAGAGGAGCAGTCCATGGAGTGTGACACGCGGAGTGCTCGAACTTTCAGGGAGGTTGGGAGAAGCCAATAGATGGCAAGATGGAAGGAAAATCGGAAGAGTGGTTTTTAGAGTGATCCATTGCTTCTAACAAGAGTAGTGCTGAAAGACCACCCTTTTATTATGCTCATAGATTCTGTGGTTCAGGTATTGGGACAGGGTACAGCCCAGATAGGCTTGTCTGGGACCTTAGTTAGGAAGACTTGATGGCTGGGGGTGCCCCAAAAGTCTGGGGGCTAGAATAATCTGAAGGCTTCTTCTCTCAGGCATTTGGTGCCTGGGCTGTGATGCCCCAAAAGCTGAGCTGAGCCAGGACAACATGTGACCTCTCCTTGTGGCTTAGGGTTCATCACAGCCTGTGATGGCTTGAGGGTAGTCAGATTTAAACGGGGTTCAGGACTCCACAAGTGTTTGTAGTGAACAAGGCAAAAGCTGCATGGCGTTTTTTGTTTGGTAAACAGCTTTGTGGGGATATAATGTACATACCATATAATTCTCCCATTCAAAGCATATCATTCATTAGTTTTAGGGCACTCAGTTTTACAATCATCACTGCAATCAATTTTAGAACATTTTAGTTACCTCAAAAAAAAACGTCGTGCTTATTAGCAGTTACCCCCAAGCCTAGACAAGCAATAATATATAGCTCTTTCTCTAGATTTGCATATTCTGGACATCTCATGGGATGGAATCAAATGTAGAATCCTAAGTGGAATTGTACAATATGTGGTTTTTGTGACTGATTTCTTTCACTTAGCATACTGTCCATGTTATAGCATGAAACAGTACCGTATTTATTTTATTGCTAAATAATATTCCATTGTATAGATATACATTGTGTTTATCCATTCAGCAGTTGATGGGCATTTGGCTTTTCCCACTTTTTGGCTTTTGTGAATAATGTACAGGTTTTGATGTAGGCATATGTTCTCTCTCTCTTTTTCTCTCTCTATTTCTCTCTCTTTCATTTTTTTGTCAGTCACACTCTGTCGCCCAGGCTGATGGCATGTTCACAGCCACTGAGCCTTGACCTGCTGGGCTCACGCAATCCTTTTGCTTCAGCCTTCCAAGTAGCTGGAACTACAGGTGCACGTCACTGTGCCCAGGTAATTTTCTGATTTATTGTAGAGATGCTATCTTGCCATGTTGCCCAGGCTGGTCTCCAACCCCTGCACTCAGGCAATCCTCTTACCTTCACCTCCTAAAGTGCTGGGATGACAGGTGTGAGCCACCATGTCCGGCCAGAGCTGTGTTTTCATTTTTTTTGGGTATATGCTGTTGGGAAGAAAAAATTTTTTCTCTACTTTTTTAGGTTCAGCAATTAGAGGCCTGCAAATTAAGTTGACAGAGGACAGTTTAGCAAGAGAAAGGACATATTTTAATCATGCACAAAGAAATGTGACTCAAAGTGATGGTTAGAATTTGGGGCGTGTATACAATTTTAATAGGTGAAGGGAGGGAAAGGGCACTTCTAGGAAAACAGTGCTTTTCAAGAAAGCTCAGTGAGTCCTTAGGAGAATAGATGGGAGATGTGATGGTTTTTGTGACAAATGTCTATGTAGGAACGGTGTGGAGAGTTCTCATCTACAGTGATAATAGTAGATCGCTGGTTGCTCCTAGGGAGGGGATTTATGACAATTGAGTTCTTTTGGGAGGCTTTGCTTTTAGGCAGATAAGTCAGGAATGCAAATGCCTTCTGCTCAAATAATGTTTATGCCACAGTGACTTATTCCGGGCCTTTTTAATACCTAGAGTGGAATTCCTGGGTCATGGCAACTCTA